ACGCTGTGACGTATCGCAGCAACGGGCCGACCCGCTCCATGAGGCATCTACGTGTTTATGTCTATGGAGTTAAGTGTGATTTTAATTGCGTTTCTAAGTTAATGGAAACACCGCAGTTATGTTTTTTCGACATTTGCGCTCATTTGTAAATGAAATGCAACTGGTGTGAGGTGTCCTGCTGTGCCGCAGGTCTCTGAACGTGGACATGGAGTGGCTGTATGGCGCCAGCGAGAGCAGCAACATGGAGGTGGACATCGGTTACCTGCCACAGGTATGAATGAACGTTTACTCCCGCATGCAGGAATCATTAAATCACTTCTCGTTGCTTTGTAACAATAGAAAATACTGTCTAATCTCTTGGAGTTATTTCCAGTTTTTTCCTGCTGAGCTGAGTAGATAAAAGTTTTCATTGTTTAAGTTAACCTGACTACTTTTTTAAATTTAATTCAGACCACAAGCAACTGTTTTTATATCCATTTTTTCTATAGTTTAAGTTTTATTGAAACTATTTATAGCAAGTATTTCAAGTTTCCATTAATCACCAAAGATCAACCTGCTCTTCCCTCATCATTAAAGTTTGACATTAACAAAATCAAACTTAATTGATAGAAATTAACTTTTTGTATTCTTATGAAGCTATTTTTTTTTTTGCATATTTGACAGACATTTGTTTGATTAATATTGATTCTGTTAAGAAATTCATTAACTGAAAATAAAAATTTTTCTCAGAATTTTGACCTTAAACCAAGAATTCTAAGTCTGTCAATGTGTCAAAATCCCAAAAAAATAACCAAATATTCTTGGTATGTTTATAGTCCTCACATTGTTTCTTCTAAGGATTTGTAAACCTGCACTTTCCACACTCCACATTTTGAGAAAAAGTTGGATTTCTGAGAAAAACACCATAATTCTGATATTAAATGTGGAATTTTGAGAAGGCAGAATTCTGAGAAAAATGTCAGAAATTAAATTCGGAATTCTGAGTTTAACGTCAAAATTTTGAGAAAAAGTTGGATTCTGAGATTAAAGTCAGAATTTTTCGGTGGCCCTAATTTTGTTCTGTACTAAAGTAACCAGCTTATTGTAATTTTTTGATTCTTGCACTTTGCCCCCTGCAGATCTGAATATAGATATGAAAAACGGTTGAAGTCTGGTTATTTTAACAGCCCTGTTTAGATCCACTGTAGGTCAGCGTCAGTAGAAAACTGTTTTGTTTGCAGTTGGAACTGCGGTCTATAGGCCCCTCCACTCCCTCTGTCATTGTGGACGAGGATGGAAACGTCATCGACAGCCGGGACGGACGCAGCGAACCGATCCAGTTCGTCTTTGAGGAAATTCCCTGGACCTCGGCGATCAGTCAGGAGGAAGCTTCCCACCACCTGGAGGTCACTTTCTACCCATTTAAGAAGGTAAACGTCCATTAGAGAGGCTGAACAGCAGCAGTGGGTTGTTGTTGACTGCTATGTGTTTGCAGGTCCCATACTTGCCTTTTGCAGAGGCTTTTGAGCGAGCCGAATCGGAGAAGAAGCTGGTCCATTCGATTCTGCTCTGGGGAGCTTTAGATGATCAGTCCTGCTGAGGTGATGTCGCTAATGAGGAGCTAATTTTACAAGATTAGCAACTACAGCCATCCAGCTTTAACGATAACTGTCAATGAGTGAGGAATTTTCACCCACACTTTCCAGCAAGGACAGCTAATGCTAAAACACAAAGTTAGCGCACATGTTGGCGCCCAACCTGAGGGCTCTAATCACAAACATTTGTTCTGCTGATGTTCAAGTGCTAACTTTTAACCATGTTAACGTTGGCTCGCATGTTGGCACACAACAAAGTGGCTTTAATCATAAATATTAGTTCTGCTAATGCTAAAGAGCTACACTAACATGGTATCTAGGGGAAGCTAATGCTAAAGTGCTAACTTTGACCATGTTAAAGTCGTTGCACAACCTTAAAGTTCTAATCATGAACACTAGTTCGGCTAAAAGTGAAGTTTTACATCACCACGTTATTTAGCTGAAGCTAATCCTTAAGCAGTATTTTTAACCATGCTAAACTTAGCATCTTTTACTCGTGGTTTCAGTTTTGTAGCTGTTGAGCTAGTTATTGTTAATTTTTACCTAACTGACCACTGAAGGGCTTTGGTCAGAAAACCTGCAAAGCTAAAGCGGTAAGCTAAAAATTAGCTCCGCTATTAGCACATTAGCAGAATTATACCCACCACTGGCCAGACAGGTTGATGTTATTTCTTGATTCTACAGGTTTTTCTACCTTTTTCACCTTCAGTTTGTGTTTAAATGTCTGCAGGTTCGGGGCGAACTCTCCGGGAGACGGTCCTGGAAAGTTCGCCCGTCCTCGCTCTGCTCAACCAGAGCTTCATCAGCAGCTGGTCTCTGGTCAAAGAGCTGGAGAACATGCAGGTGAGCCCCCAGTGGAGAACCAGTGAAACCACTTGCCTGCTGTGCAGCCACACAACTGCTCTGTTTGCTTCTGTTTCAGGCTGACAAGCAGAACCCTGCGCTGAGCGAAAAGGCCCAGTTACATCTGGAGAAGTACAGCTTCCCAGTGGAGATGTTGGTGGCGCTGCCCAATGGAACCATTGTAAATATCGAGTCAACTGATTTGGTTTCTCTGCATTTATTTGATTAGAAAGTAGATTTTATTGTAACTGTAATTTTTCATTACAAATTACTTGCAATGACTTGAAATGGCTTTTACTTACTTTTATCTGATAGTGGTGCACTAATAAGCTACTTCCCTGTAGGGATCAATACAGTATATTCACTATACGACTCGTGTCAAAATGTTAATTAGTAAGTACATGTTGGGAGAATCTGCAGCAGGTTGCATGCGTTCAGTGTTATAAATAACACTGAGAATGATAATTGTTCATTGTTCTGTAACCAAACTGCCCTGAACTATTTTTGCTTTGGACTCTTGGTATTAGTTTGTTGTTCAGGGACATGCAGCCTCCTTTCCTGAAGAGATAAGAACGGAAATGGCTTTCTTGTGAATTCCTCAGGTCCACCACATCAACGCCAACTACTTCCTCGACCAAACAGCAATGAAACCAGAGGACGAAGGGGCAACTTTCAGCTTTTCTGGGGGGTTCGAGGACCCCTCCACATCCACGTACATCAACTTCCTGAAGGAGGGCCTGGAGAAAGCAAAGGACTACATAACCCAGTAATAATGGTGTATTTCACAGCAACTGACACCGGCGAGCATTTAGAGAAGATTTCTCATCTGTCTGCAGCAGAAAAAGTTTTTTTTTCCTCATTTTTTCCGCTTAGTTTTTATTTACTTAAACACTTTTTGTAGTAAAATTAGGGCTGCAAATTCAGTAATCTGTAATTTATTCTGACATAGGACTGGACAATAATCAATAACAACACATTTCTTGGTAGATCAATATAAACAGATCATTAGTCAAATTAAAATAATAATTGGAAAACAACCATTTTATTGTCTAAAATGAAGTGAATGTAAATTTATATATACTATTTAGTTTTTGCTTAATTACTGATGTGCACATGTTCTTTTGTAATTCTGTATACACCAGTTAATGATTAATTACTTAATTAGTTCACGATTATTTCAGAAATTAATTGCATTTAATTCGATTAATCAAATTAATCAATTCGATCAATTAATCACAGTGTAATCTAGTTGGCAATTAATCATATACTAAATTAGTTGATTATTTCATAGATTGATTAATCACGATTAATCGTTCAGCCCTGGTTAAAGTAACCTTTGTGCAGACAGTGGGTCTTCCTCGTGGCTTTGCCGTGTTGAAGCGTCTGAGCTGCTCCAGCCGTGTTTCGTGCATTTTGTGACGTCGTCGCCTGAAAGCTCTCCGAGCCGGGGGACGCCTGATGTTGTTGCCGATGCGGCTGGAGGAGCAAAACACTCAAACTCTGGTACATAAAATATAGATTTTGTTCTTTCATTTATTGTATAAAAATGTGTGGTGTGCAGATATTAATGTGATCAGACCAAAGAGCGTTGTTTCACGTTTATTCCACTTGCTTCATACAGGAGACAAAACTGATGTGTTAACTGTAAAGATGTTTTGGGTATAGAGCCTGCTTTACTGTATTAGACAAGAAACGTTTTTGTTTTCATCTCATGCCTCAGTTATGTGATTAATTTACATTTGAGTATAAAACAAGTTGGTTACTACAAACCTTCCAAAACTTTAACCAAGTCATTTCAGTTTCCTGTGCAACGCCTTTTGGAGAAACAAGTTATTCCCTGAACTATTAGTGCCATTTTTTCATAATAAATACACATTTTCTATACAAATGAGTCTATTTTTCTCCTTAACAATCTAATAAACAGTTCTGGTCACAAGCGTTAAAGGAGGAGAAGTCAAATATCCATCCAGATTTACAAGACTCTGACCGATCTGCCTGGCTTACATCATTCAGTGGGTTAATCCATGGAAATCTGTGGTTTCCATGCAAAAGTGTCGTTTCTCTGGAGCTGCAAAGAAATGTCTAACCAAATATTAGGAGGAAGAGTTTTGATTAGAGAAAATTACCAATAAATTCAAAGCTGTGAATTAAGTTTTGCCTTTTAAACCAAATTGTGTCATATAAGTGCGACAGCATTAGGGCCACGCTAAGAAAATGAAAATATGAGGGTCAAGTCGCGTAATTTGATTCCAACGGCCTTTAATAATAAGAGTAAACTGAAATAAAATCAAAATAATACAAGAATAAAGTTGCAATATAAAACTGTCATGAGAATAAAGTCATGATTGGGCTTGAATTGTTTTGAGTTCATTTTTGTAATACTTTATTTTTTAAATATGACTATTCTCATACTATGACTTTATTCATAGTTTGAATAGATGAATCGATAAATGATTGAAATAAACTAATTTAGTAGTACTTTATTCATAGTATTGATAATAAAGCCATAGTACTATGACTTTACTCATAAATAATTTTTTTTAGTTTTTTTGTTAGTATGGCTGTAATACTTCATTGTATATAATAACTCCAACTTAAACAAAACATAGTTTGTAGGTGTCATTAAACAAAATGGCGTCTGTGCAGGTGATGACGAGTCAAAGCAAACGTTTTACCAGCCGTGCAGATCCATGAAACAACCATTCAAATTCACATTGTGCAGATTTCCATGCATTAACCCACTGAATGATGTAAGCCACGCAGATCGGTCAGAGTCTTGAGCAGCAGTGATGACGCTCGTCCAGTTTCGATGCCGTTTTACCGTAGAACAGAAAAAAACGCATCGTCTCTGTTCCAGCTGGACGAAAAACCGCAGACATGATGATCAGCGCTGATGAAGAGCAGATGAACTCCTCAGATCTCGTACGTATTTTAACATTAGTCATGCATTAACAAGGCAGGATTGTATTTACACGTATTAATGTCCAATTATAAAACAATATGAGGATGCTAATTTACATTAAGAGCACTCAGTTTGGCTGAGGACAGTCTGGTAATATACATCTATATAGACGTGATCTACATAGACGAGTTTCTTCTGGGCGAATAGCCGTGTCCTCAGCTGAACGTCCAGACCTCCAGCTCCATGATGCGGAAATCGTCTGTTTCAGAGAGGCAGCAGTTGTTGAAGGTGTAGCAAGGACTGCTGCGGCCCAGATACAGGTTCTCATCGACCCACAGCCCGAAGTGACCGCTGGGGGGAGAGAGAGACGCACAGAGGCTGGGTGAGCAGCAGCAGTGGAACGATTAATCAGATTAATTAATTAGTCAACTAACAGTAATTGATTAATCAAAATTAAAAACGATGAATCAAGACTAATTGATTCTTGAAATAAATGTCAAATAATTTAGCAATCAATTAATCATGAGAAAGCATGATTTACATCTGTATACAGAATCAAAGGTCAACAGAACAGCAAACTGAGCATTCAAGTAAACTTATTTTCTACATATTTCTTTTATTAGGTGTATTTTATTGTAAATTTTAATTTTCAATACAAGCTGCCACATATTATTCTTACATTATTCTAAAATGTTAATTTTTCTTATTAAAAAAGTAACTGAATTATTTATTTGCATCTTTTTATGTATTTCTGATATTGTATTTTAAAAAATGGCTTAAGTGGTAAATGAAAACCCTGCAGAATGTTCCAACTTTTCTGCCAAGCAGCCTAAATTTCCCACATGTGGGACTAATAAAGGATTATTTCATCCTAAAACAGACGAAATGCAAAGCTGAAAACATTTTTACCTTCCGCCGCCAACAGCGAAGCAGTCCAGGTCTCCTTTAATGAAGAAGGAGTTTTCTCCTGTCCACCTGAAGCTCTGAACACATTTTAAATATCCAAAATAAATAAACAGCAAAAGAAACAAATAACATGAATTATTAAGTCTCTGTAAACAAGACCAAAGCAAGACTTTTATCATCCAGTTTTTTGGAAGAACGAGAAAAAAAAAATCATGCAAACGGGAATTATAGAGCTTGTTTTAATTATCAGGCAATTAATTAATGTAATGCCTAATTGGACAGCAGATGCATTGTTTTCAGAGTTTAACAGCCTTACTCATTTTCAGCTGCTTTGATGGACTAGAGAAAATAAAATGAGAATAAGACAAGCAAAATTAGAAAAAAAGTAAAAAAGAAAGAATGTTTGGAGTTAAATGAACATTTGATACATTTTCCCAGATAAGCAGTGGAAAACAGTAACAACACATGAAACATTTAAAAACAAATTTTAAAAAACATTAAAAAAGGTTTGATGATATAAGACAAAAAAATAAATAAAAGGCACAGATATTTAGCTTTGCAGGGCTTTCTAATATAGTGGGTTTTTTAACTGGGGCCGCCAGGGGGCGCTATGGGGAGTAGAAATGGAAAAAAAATAGAATGAAATACGTTTAAATAAAATAACTTATTTAAATGCAACTGAAATGGTTGACAAGAAAAAAATGGATGTGATTAATATGAAATATTATATATTTTCATAATCAAAATTGTATTATAAAAATACAAATTTTTATAATACAAAAAAATTATGTTATAAAATACAATTTAATATATCATAGTTATAATATATTAAGTGATAATAAAGTTTAATGCTCTTTGGTAACCTCCATACTAATCTACTCTAAGTTATAATGAAATCTCACAAGGAAAAGTTTCCCCTTAATAATAACATGAAAAGCTGGAGTTTGTTCCAGTTAGCCTCTCTTTTATTAGCTTACCTTAAAACGAGGATGCAACATGAACAGGAAGGTTTCTCCAGTACCGTAAAACGTCTCACTGGGTCTCAGAGGATCAGACAGGAAGGCCCCAAAAAGCTGATGGATTAGTTCACAATCGATGAAAAACAGCCGATAAAACCAGACGGCACCACATTTATAGTTTCTGTCACAGTTTTTACCTCATCCAGAGCATCTTTTATGACAATCAGCACAGGAGAGTCGGTGCTGCTGAGCTTCCTGTAGAGAGACTTGAGGCTGGCGCCGTGCCGGGACGTGCTGTAAGCGAGCTGCCAGGCGCGGCCCACCGTCCTGGCAGGAAGCTCCTTACACAGCTGGAAAAAACACATTTACCACTTAAAAACCAAAACCTTCAGGGATTTTATGCAACAGATCAAAAGCATGTGAAACATTTTAACTTATAGTTTTTTTTTTTCAGGTTGAATAAGAAAAACAAATTGTAAATGTTTTATTTGACCTCATTTATTTGAACTTAATCCTCAACGTTTGTTTACACAAGCCAGAAAAGTTTAATTATTACAAACCTTGACTGTATCTCCCACATAAACTTTACAAAATTAACATTTAAAGTCAAAAAGTGTGAAATATTTATCTGGTTGAGTTCCTAAAACGAGTTGATCTGCAGATAATTAATCAATAAGGGAGGGATGATTAATTGATTATTGAAATAATCAGCAACTAATTTAGTAATCGATTAATCATAGAAGAATTAAATCATTTGTTTATTTGCATTTCATTAATGTTTTTCTAATATTGATTTAAAAAATCTGAAATAACTTTTTTTAGTCTGATTAATCATCAGAATAACCAATAGGCTAATCGATTAATAAATAATTGTCGGAGCCCTAACATAACCGTAACTTACCTGAAATTTCTACATTTTAAAGTGAAATAAGAGAAACGCAGCAGCAGTAAAACCTTTAAATCGAGTCTGTGCTTCAACAGTCGGATCAAATAACAGAGCATTGCTCACCGACGCCTGAAATGATTAATCGGCTTAATCATGATTAAGTGATTATTGAAATAATTGTCAGTTACTTAATTTGTTGATTAATTGTGAACTGAAGTAAGACAGACCAAAAAAAGGCCATTTGCTGAAAGAACAACACAGTCAGAGCAGAAATTCAGCTAAAGCTGTACAAAAATTTGCATTTAAGTTAAAAAGATGTCGTACTAAAGATGTTCCTTACTGGTAGAGGAATTAAATCATTTGTTTATTTGCATTTCATGAATGTATTTCCAATATTATACAGAATAACCAACAGATTAATCGATTAGTGGATTGTCGCTAATGTAATCACAATTTCACTGAAAGTACTAAGTTTTAAAGTGAATTAAAAGCAACAAAGCAGTAATTAAACCTTTGAGCTCAACTAAGTCGAGCCTTTTCAAAGTGCATGTGTGCTTTGTGTCAACAGTGGGATCACATGGCGGAGCGTCGCTCACCTCTCTGACATGTGAAACCTGCAGAACGCGGCTGTTCTCCACGACGTTACCGACCCCTTCGGGTTCCCTGTCGATCATCGCGCCCAGCTTGTCTTTATTCTCCTCCATCAACACCAACTCCAAAGAAGAAACACAGAAGCTAAATTAGCTCCTCTGGTTTTTAATCCACAGGTAGGAAAGGTTCCCGCTCACCTCCCAGTCGTCTCCGGAGCCGCGCAGCGTCGGAAACATCTCTTCATCCTCCTCTGCTCTGTCCTCTATGAGAACGAACTCTTCTTCCTCGTGGTCTGCCTCCTCCTCCCCGTCCAGGAGACGCAGGTCTGGCCGGCGAAGCTGCAGGAAGGAACGCAGCTCGTCGGAGCTGCAGGGAGAGCAGGATGAGTCAGGATTACTGGGATGACAAACAACAGCGACAGCTGCAGCAGAAAGGAGACGTTGCTGTGAGGAAGACAGCATTTAATATCAGCTCTGCTTTTCCTGAGCTTCTCTCTTATTCGAACGAGGAAAAAATAGCAAATCTGCATGTTAAAAAGTTAAAAATTCACCTGTTAACAAGTGGTGACTTTAAATGAGTTGGAATCATTCATTTACTTTAGTAAAAACAGCAGAGATACAATGCAAACAAAAAAAAACAAAAAAACAAAAGCAGAACAAATAAATCTGACAAAATCTCTTTGCGTCAAAAGCAAAACATTTAAGTTTCTTTCAACATTAACCATCAGTTCTTATAGACCAGTTGCAGCGTGACTTCGCATGGATCCCAACCCCATTTCCTGATGGAGGGCAAAAACTGCTAGCTAACGATGACTAGCATTGGTTTTAGCTGTTAAGTTACCAACATAATGCGCTAAATCTTAAATGTACGCCTGATATATAAAAGAAAAGGGACACAGAGCTTTGCTACAACACGACAACTAGATAATAAGGTCAGGAAAAAGTTTTAATTAGGAGAAAAAATAGTGAGGGAAGTAGTTCAGTTATGCTAGCTTGACTTTGACAACCTTATCATGTAGATGTGACGTGGAATTTGGTGTTTTCGGTTCAGTTACAAAACGATAAACATTCAACCCACACCAATCAGAAGGTGAGAGGTTAGCACTTATGCTAACCGAAAGTGAGAAATACTGAATAAAATTGAGGAAAAACCTTTATAAAAGTCAATATTTCTTAACATATTTTGTGTGTGGGTTTTGATGTAGGTATTGATTTTCATTTCTGTACCTTTCTTGTGTCAGAGCGAGCCAGGTGTCCCTCCTGGGTAAAGTTTTAGCTGAACTCTTCTTCCCCGCAGGCGACTGAACCCGCAGTCGCACAAACATCAAACCCCCGAGACTTCCCGCCGACGGCCTTCGAGGAGCTGGAAGGCAAATAGACGTCCAGAGAAGAAGAAGCCAACATGAAACCAGCAGACGTAAAAGAGCAGATGGTTTCCCACCAGCAGTTAGACCCAGATGAAAAATAGTTATTTTTAACAATGATAAATTAAAATAGTAAACTTTTTTAAAGAAAGAGTGACACAAATCCTGGTCCAGTTGATTAGAATACACTAAACATTTCTAACTTTGGGATGTGGGATGATTTACACATCAGTATCCTATAAAAACCGAACCTATCCTTATAAAAAAAATCTAACCTATAAAAAAAAGCTGAGTTTATTGTTGAGCTTCGTGGTTTCAGTTTTAAAACGCCATGTCTTCCAGCCTCACCTTCAGTCTGACTCTTCTCTGAGGACTTCTCCTTGTCTTCTGGTCCGCCGCAGCAGAAAGTGGCGGCGCTGCTCAGGACGGCCAGGCCGCCCACAGGCTCCTCGGTCAGCACCCTGAGCGAGCCGCCGTCCAGCCCCCCGTCCACATCGTCCGTGTCTCTGCTGTCCGCCTCGTCCTGCTGGGGAACCTGGTTGGTGAGGCTCAGGGTGGGACTGGGCAGCAGCGACGGAGCCGCAGAAACCAGCGCCGGGGGGGAATCCTCCGGCTTTTTGCCTCCATGGCTCTTGGTGGATTTGAGCTTCTGGAATATGTTCTTTGCTTTTCCTCTCCTTCTGCAATGAAAACAACAAAATCAGCTATTTTAGCTTTTTCTTTGAACTAAGGAGGCGCGTTATCAATTAATAACTGAATGTAAAGTTGGCTGAGCTCATCAATCAGCCAGTTTTCTCTTGTAACAAGACGATCAACCATCTTTTCATAACATAAATAACTAATTTTTTTATAATATGCTGAATAAAAAAGTAGTTAAATTTAAATATTATTTTATCAGGTGAATTATATGATGGTGTATTTGGGACATTGCAGATAGAAAAAAAAAGATTAATCTCAGATATTTTCTAGAATAAACAAAGAAATTTCTGAGTTTGAATAGTTGAAAATTAGCTAGAAAATGTTCTAGGAAAAGAGGAAATTTCTGAGTTTTAAGTCTAAAATTTTTGACTTTTGAAACTCTTTTCTAACCCAAGTCTTTTTTTTCACAAATATTTCCCAAATTAACTTAAACATTTCTGAGTTTTTTCTTGCAAATTTTAGATACTTGGAGCTAAGAAATATCCTTGTTTTTGTCGGAAATTTACTCCCTTTTTCCATCTACAATAGCCCTATTACGCCGTTGTAGCATAAATATTGACCAAATAAACAGAAAGTTGTTGTTTTCTCACAATCAACCGGGAATCTCTTATGTTGTTGAATAGAACAATAAAAGAGGAAAATACTATGTGAAACACTTAATTCCTCAGAGATACTCGTACAGAAATAGCCTGCAGTTGCTCTTGACCGAAGGTTAAAACTTCGCTAAATGAGGTGCATTAACTCACGACAGCTCTCAAAATAACCTGGCTTATTGACATTATGTTTTTTTTCCCCCCATAATGTTACTTAAGGAGTTTGTCAGGTGTTTATATTTCAAAACAGAACCCCATAACGTGCATTTTATATACGAAACCGGACTCTGGACCGTTTTTCTTCTGCTACATCGCCATCTTTGTGTCTCCGTGATTAAAAAGGGTGACCAGCTACGCCCTCTGCTGGATTGCGGCCAAACTGCAACTCTTAAAGTACATGAAAACGTTTCTACACTGTGTTCCAAATTATTATGCAAGTGATATTTTCTCAGATTTTCCTAATGGTCAATGCAAATGATGGTCAGTATAATTTTCAAGACATGAACTATTACAGTATAAATCAAATTTTACTGAACAAACAAATAAGAACAGTATTTTTTTTTTCAAAAATAAAAAACTCAAAATGAACTGTTCCAAATTATTATGCACATTCTCTAAACATTTTATGGATTATAATGAACTGCAAACGGTCATTCTTCAAATGTGCAGCATTAAGTGGTCACAGGTACTAAAAAGCTATTTCAGTGTAAAACATCTTAACAGACAGAGTTACGTGTTAACGTAGGACCCTTCTTTATATCACCTGCACAGTTCTTGCATCCATTGAACTTGTGAGTTTGTGGATAGTTTCTGCTTGAATGTCTTTACAGAATATCAGAAAACCTCCCAGAGCTGCTGTTTGATATGAACTGCATCCCACCTTCAGATCTTCTGCTGGAGGAAACTCCAGAGGTTCTCAATAGGTCAGAGGTCAGAGGAGGATGGTGACCACACCAGGAGTTTTATGCCCATAGCAGCCAATGACACAGTAATATTAATTGCAGCATGAGATGGTGCATTGTAATGCATGAATATAATTTTGCTACTGAAGGTATGGCTCTTATTTTTGAACCATGAAAGAAAGTGATCAGTCAGAAAGTCCATATACTTTCCTGAGGTCATTTTCACACCTTCTGGGACTCTGAAGGGGCCAACCAGCTCTCTCCCCATCGGCCCACAGCATGACTCCACCACCTCCTTGCTGACATCACAGCCGGGTTGGGACGTGGTGGCCGTCCACCACCCATCCACTACTGTGTCCATCTGGACCATCCAGGGTTGCAGAGCAGTCATCAGTGAACCAAGTCTGTTTAAAAATTAATCTTCATGTACGGCTGGGCCCACTGGGACCGTTTCTGTTTGTGAGCCTGGTTAAGGGAGGCTGAAGTCGGTTCATGCACAACAAGCCTCTGGAGGATCCGACACCTTGAGGTTCCACCAGCAGCTTCAAATAACCGTTTGCTGCTTTGTAAGGGCATTTTAGCAGCTGCTCTCTTAATCCGATGAATTTGTCTAACAGAAACTTTCCTCATTAATCCTTTATCTGCACAAACCCATCTTTGTTCTGAATCAGCCACAAATCTCTTCACAGTACAATAAAGCTTCAGTTTTCGTTAAATATCTAATGTTTTCATACCTTGTCATATGGCACTATCTGATGATTTTCATCAGCAGAGATCCTTTCTCTTTCCAATATTTCTTGAAACCTTTGGCCTGCTTAATAATGTGGAACATCTTTCTTAAGTAAATTTCCTTTAATTGAGCTCACCTGACAAACTAATCAATCCAGGTCTCTGAAATTAATCACACTGATTCAGAGTCCTGAGACACAACACCATCTATAAATTTAATAGCACAACAAAAAATTTAATCTTTATGACACTTAAATCCTATGTGCATAATAATTTGGAAAATGGTGTAGTTAGTCGACTGGAACTAGTTTTAATCTAATAAGCCATTAATCGACCTAACTGGACCGTTTATCTCATTTGTGAAACAGCACTGACCTTTGCTGGGAGGCGCTGAAGTGAATGTGTGAAACATCAGAGAAGAAGGAGACGGACGCCAAACTGTCAACAGCGCAAGACAGAAGGTAATCCTCGAAGCCGTGCTCCGTCACCAGCGGATGGGTTTTGGATGGGTCGAAGAAGATTTTAGTGGGCGTCACCACCAGGATACCAGAAACCACACCCTGGCAGAGACAGACGGAGACGGGATTTCAGACGTCCACAGAGCTGAAATCAGAGTTTATATGTTGTTGTTCCTCACCTTTCCGTCGGTGATGTAACGGCAGAACAGTTTGAGATATAACATGGCAGCTGGGCGCTCGCCCTGGCAGCACTCCGGAGGGAGAGCCAGAAGGCAGAGGTGCCCATCTGGCAGCGGCACCGCCTCCACATCCTGCCAGCAGCACAGTCACATGAACAGGCTTATTTTACAGCCTGGATTAAACTAAAACAAGATCATCTTTTTGATCTTAAGATAGAAGAACCTGGTATTTTCCATTGATTCATAGCTTATGTATAGGGCAGACACAAGCCTTTTGGGGCCCCACATGCCAACATTCCTCAGCTACTCTTTGTGGTAACATAACACACATCATTAGCGTCATTTGTTATTAGCTTACATCACACCAGTATTATTATGGCTGTTAATTTTAACCTTACAGGAGAAGCAAACAAAAAAAAGGGTTTTGAAATGAGAGTGGTGTTTAAGTGAGCCATATTATTTTAATTATCTGAAAGTAACACCAGCTGATAAAAACTAAATTTACAGTAAACAAGTTTAAAAGTTTGATGTCTTATATTTCCCTCAACAGTGGCAGCAGTCAACAGCAGGAAGAGATTAGCCTATTATTTGTGTAACAACTGTAAAAATAATATAGAAATAATTTTTCCATGAGTAATTGCATTTAATTTGTATTATTCAATGTTATATATGCCTTGGACCGGCTCTGCTTGTGTAAGTTAGTTAACCAAAATGACACCTTGGATTAAAGGACTTTATGATTCTTCTAACTACAATAAAACAATATTGATCTCTGAAAGGCTTCTACTCTGAACTTACCCATATCTACAGTCAGAACAGTAATTAAAGCATTGAAAACAGCACGATCTGTGACAAACAAGGCAGGAACCCGTATTTACCATAACACACAATATGGAGGACGATAAGGAGGGTAAAAAAATCTCCACAGAGACGCGCAGCACATTATTTATTGGGAATAAAAATCTACATCCAGCTCAGGTGCCGACGCTGTAAAGTAACCAGTTAAAGTGACAGCAGTAATACCTCCAAACCCGAACCTACTTCTAGCAGGTATCCCAGCCTGTAAACACTCCTTCAGCCAAGAGTCCTTCAGGATTTATTACGGATGGTGTTAGAGCCTCTAAGTGTCCCTTCAGAGCAGTCTGCATGCTTTCCAAAATGTTTACTTCACGTGTCCAAAATGTAAAATCAAATAACTACTCTTTAAGTAGTTATTTATAAATCCTGATAAGTTTATAGGCCCAGAAAAGAACTACCTTTGCTTTTCTCAGATTTCTTTTGCTTTGTGTTGGGATTAATTATGTTAGTTTTCAAATAACAAGGCAGACATGATGCACCGTCACAAGTGGGGCTGCAACTAACAGTTATTTCAGTAGTTAATTATTCTGACAATTAATCAATTAATCAGATAAAAATTGGCACATTCTGCAGTTTTTCCATTGAAGTCCCTTTTGTGCAATATTAGAAATACATTAAAAGATTAAATTAAACAACTCAATTACTTTTTGAAATAAGAAAATACTTTTTAAAAAATCTTTTTCATCCTTAGTTGCAGATACAAAGGATGCATCTCCAACTGAAAAATGTGGAAAGCTCAATCGTTTCTGCTTGATGTAACATCGTTACAGAGTAAATCTGATCTGGAGATTGATTTTTGGATTAACCGATTAATAATTGGAGAGCAAAAGGTGCTTAATAGGAGAATTATTTAGCAGATGAAGCTAAAACTTCTGGGTAGAACATAATTACAGACAAAAAAGGTTTTTGTTAATCTTAAATGCAGAATGTGTATATTTTTGTACTAGCCTAGGTTTTAGTACTGCTGTGTCGTTTTACCAACAGATGTTTATGATTAATTGATTACTAAATTAGTTGATAGCTATTTAAATAATCGATTAATCATAACTAATCTGATTAATCATTCCAGCTCTATAACACAATATTTTAATAAAGTAAATAAGTTTGTTTTCTATAAATCATTTTAGATGTGAAATATAAACACCTGCAGGTTTGTTTAGCGTATCACGATTAATCCAACTAATCGATTCAGCCCTAATCAGAGGTAAATAAATCTCTGACGTAAGGAAACAGGTGCATTGGTTGCTAATAAACAATCTCTGGGTGCTAACTACTTCTTTCTAAAAGGCTACAACTTGTAGACACTTCTCAGCAAAATGTAGAACATGCAGCAAATCTTCTACTTACAAGAAGTTTGTCATATTCAGCCTCTGGAGAGGGGGACGGAGTCTGAGCCGGGAGCGAATCCAAACAGTCCTGATCTGCATCTGCCTCCGGTTTCTCCTTGGACCTGCAGTCCAGTTCAAGCTGAGAGGATTTCCCACTGACAGAGGCGTCCTTTCTCTTCGAGACCAGCTGCTTCAGAAAGGAAGCCATGATAAGATTAACTCTGACTTTGACATGGACACACGGCGAACCGCGAAGACAGGAGGGATCACTTCCTCTTTCGGCATTTCCCCTCCTCTCTGTGTTTGTAGTCATAGCTGAGCTACAGGAGAGAGATGAGGGCTGTAAATGTAAAGTGGCTGTTTTATCTGCGATGCTCCAAAATATCACATTAAAGGTCATATATTATGCTGTCTTGAACAGATTGGGATAGATCTATACAAAACTTATCCTAAGCTGAAATGAAATGTTCATTACATTTTTTTTTTTTACAAAATTATTCTTGGATAATTAAATTTTAGTCTGCACATTTCTGTCTAATGTTTCTTGTCATTTTAATTCTAAATAAGCTTCGGCTGGCCACGCCCCCCTAGTTTACTCTCCCATGTGAAAATGGCTCTGATTTGAAAAGCAGAGGTGGAGCCTCCTGTATGGAGCTAAATTGGAGCGATAAATTTGTAAAAAAAAAAAAAAAAAATTGAAACTGAAACTGAAAATGAAAAATGTTTTGAAACAGAAAATTACAAATTTGAAACTGGAAAAAAAGTCCAACTCTACTTTTCAGATTCAAAAGTGATTTTTTTTTTAATTTAGATGGGTTTTTTTTTCAGTTTCAACATAAATTTCTGTTAAGCTTTTCTTTGATTATTTTTTTTTTCTTTTCCTTATAGCCCCAATTTAGCTCCATACTCCTGCACAACTTACAAGAATGCAGCAAATAGTTTCTGATTGGAAAGTCAACAACAAAGCACTTGTCTTTTTGTAAAACCAGCTGACCAAATGTCCTTGAACTCCTAGGTAACAGGCAGAACTCTGCTGGGGTTGCCGGGCAACAGGCTGGGCTTCCCTGGGGTTAGCAGGTCACAGCTCAGTGCCTGTGATGTTACATTTGAGAAGTTTTTGAAAGGGTTCGTTTTCAAAACACCAAAAACCAATTTATTGCTAAAAAACAGGTGGGTGGGTTTTTTAATCGCCTGCTTTGTTTTTAGAAGCAGTAGAATCCCAAATAGAAGCACAAAAATGTGCAAAAAGTGAACTTTGCATAATAGATACCCTTTAAAATAATATTAGCTTTTATTTATAAGTTGAATGTTTTGAGTTAGGCATGGAAACTATAAGGGAGTAACTTCCTGCTGAGTATTTTAGTCATGAGTGGGGGAAGTGCTAGTTTGCATTACAAATCGACACAAGCCACATTTCTGCTGACATTAGATGCTAACAGCTGGCTCATACCTCTTTTATTACGTTGGTATCAGAGCTGAGTTGTGTTGAAGTTTTGCTCTTGTCCCCTGAGGATCCATCGCTGCTGTTGAACGTAGACGAAACGCTGAACACCGTGTCCCCGGGGAGACCCTGCAACCAGCAGCAACAAAATGGTTTCCGGTCGGTTTTTATCACCTAACGTTCAAACACTTCACATGTTCCTCTTTGCTAATGCAATAAATAACAGTTTGTTTTCAGTTGAAAGACAATAAAAGTCATGCTTATGTCATTAATCATCACAATTCATTGTCTGACGTGTTCTGCAATTCACTGGTGCTGGGAGGCAAATAAAAAGCAAATGTAAAACATCTGCAGGTGGTTTAAATACGGCGGTCAGTTAGCGTCACTCAGTGTCTAACTGCTGCAGTGAATCAGTTTTCTATTCCCTGACAAGTTAAAATGGAAAGTTACTGCCCTGCAGCACTTAGACCTCTCATGACATATCTCCGTTCAACATACACTTCAGTGGTAAATAATTAATAATAAGAGCATTCATGAGCAACGCAAAGTGCCTGCAAATTATTCTCCAAAAGCATTTAGCTTTAAACGATAAAACGCACTGCAAAAACACAAAATTTACGGAGTATTTTGGTCCAGTTTCTAGAGCAAATATTTTAGTGCACTTGAAATAAGATAAAACTAACTTACAAGTAACTTTTCAGCAAGAAACCTGAGGTTATTTTAAGGTAACATTTCCTTAATGTTGATGAAAAAGTTCTAGTAATAAGTGAAATAATCTGCTAGTGAAAATGTTTAACTTATAATAGCAGACTTTTAAACTCAGTGTGATTTAAGTGTTTTTGTAGTTTTTAAATGAAGCCTTTTTTTAGCATATGTCAAAGTAATTTGTATTTCTATAAGATGGGAAAAATGTCTTGTTCTATTGGCAGATTCCACTTATAACTAGAACTTTTTCTGCAATTTTAATTAGTTATGTAATTATAGCTCCTATAAAGCTATATCTTGCTTTATAGGAGCAAGTTATAGCTCAGATTTTCAGATGTTTCAAATTTTACTGCTATAGAGGTTCAAAGAACAAAATATAATGTTTTACGGCTCTAATAACTATTTATTCTATTTCTAAATGTGTGAGAACATGAGGTTTGTCACACCAGACATAAAAAAATCTATCCAAGCTTCCTGTTCTGAACTCATAAATACAATATAAGTACATTCTAAAAGTTAAACTGATAGGTACCTTTGAGTAAAAGCCTGAAAGTGCGTTCCTTCGATTGTATTTACTGAAGAAGTTCTTAAACAGACTCGTTTTCCCCATGGTGTCGCAGAACTGCTGGACCTGAATCGTAACTCTGAACCTTGGACACGTCCTATGCAACACTTACAGGCCCATAAAACTCAAGACACATTTCAACACCAAAAGTCCTGTTCCTAGCAACCACACAGAGATGTTACATAAATGTCCCAGTTATCAGTTGGCTCATCTGTTTCAGTAGAGGAGCTGCTGTAACAACCACTGGATGTGATAAAGAACAGACTCACAGTGCTGCCATCTGCTGGTAAACCAACGCGCTCCGCAGTCACTACGGCGTTGCTTAGCTCCCACACCGTTCCTGTGAGGGAAAAAGTTAAGCTTGTTTTAATTTTTAAAGGCACTCTGGGTAAAAACTGTGCTTAGGACACAAAGCTGAATGGAAGAGGATAAGGTCCACTAAAAAAAGAAATTCTAAATTTATTCTGGATAAAGAAAAAAGGCAGATTACTGAGATTAAAATCAGAATTTGAGAAAAATATCAGTACTGACAAAGTCAAAATTTTGATAAAGTCAAAATTCTGAAAAAAAGTCAAAATTCTCAGAAAGATTTCAAAATTCTGAAAAAAAAATCAAAATTCCAGGAAAGAGGTCAAAATTCTGAAAATAAAATAAAAAGAAATTCTGAGTTTATTGTTGTGTACAGTGACAAACAAATTAAAATCTGATTTAAAATCAGAATTACTCTATTTTCAGTGGTCCTGTTCCTCTCCGTGAAGCTGAAACCAGGATCTAAATAATATTCAAATTTAAATTAATCTGAATTCAGTTTGTTTAATATCGTCTCGAAGCACTTTCAGAAAAGTAATAATAATAATCTCAGTTCAGTCCAACACACATTCCAACTAACCTCAGTTATCAACCCAAACAGCTGATGCCCAGCTAATTATTCAAAGTAGTTTAAAGGAATTTGAAGTAAATTTGAAATCATGCGGCCCAGCAGCACCTTGCAGGTAGTACTGCCTCAGCTTTGGGTTCCTGATGTGGGGGACATGGTCAAGGGGTCGGCCCACGGCAACGGGGTCGTTGCTATGCGCAGCGCCGGCCGCGGCGTTCTGCATGATGTGGGATTGAGGTCGATTCTCCCAGGGAGGCTTCGCAAACCGTGGAGGCTGAGAAACACCAGCAGGCAGCTTGGATCCTAACCTGAGACACGCAGACACACAAACTGATCTACTACCAATAAAAACTGATCTATTACCAATAAAAACTGATCTATTACCAATAAAAACTGATTTATTACCAATATAAACTGATTTATTACCAATGTAACAGTTCAACACCAGAGCAATGTGCCACACTACTAGTTTGCATTCATAAAGCTCCATTGTGGAAATTTACACTATGAATACTTTCCTCTGATCCACATTGGACTACTTTTAGGTTTTGGTCCAAGTTTTAAACTTAATTTTCTGAGGTGATTAGGATGAAAATGAGTTTTCTGTTTCATGAAGGAAATTATTAAGGGAATTTAAAGAAAACTGGACAATTTATTTTGCACACTTGAACATGAAAAGGTGGAGAACGCAAAAAAAGAGAAGAATGTTTGATAAATGTCAAGATAACAAATTTTCCTGGACGACAAATTGTTCCAGAAGAAACCAAATCCTGTTCTTATAACTGAAAATAAACTTGAAGCTAAACTAGACGTTGTTTTTTTTAAATGCAGCAACATTGGAAAATAATTTCTAAGATTTGGATGCTATTTTCTTTTTTGATAAATAGCATCAAAAAAGAACAAAGATTGGACAATATTTGCTGGATTTCATGTATCTTTTCGTTTGTCGACTCTTCTTTTTCACAGATTTTATTTTGAGGCGCAGCTTCAAGGATTTCGGACTTGGAGAGCCAAAGTGTGAGCAGCGCAGCATCCGTAGTCGGCTGTGGGTTATTTATAGTGGAGTGGGAGTCGTCGAACACTTCCTGCCAAGATGGGCTCCTCTCACCCACATGGTGCTGCCATGGCGGCCCAGAGCAGCCGCCCCCCACCGTCCTCAAATCTAACAAAACTGGTGTCAAGTGTTTGTGCAGCAAGTTTCTTTGTTTGTGCTGCTGTTATTTTAAAGATATTACTAAAAAGGTTTCCATAAGTTACCAAATATCTTCAAAGCAAACGCAGCACGAACAAAAAAATTTACCACTCCAACTCTTGACACTGATTTTGTTAGATTTGGATAATGTGGGCAAGGCTGGTTGACCTTTCATGACCTCTGGAAACTTTTATTAATATCTTTTAAATTATAGCGGCACAAATAAAAAAATTTGCAGCACAAATGTTTGATGCCAGTTTTGCTGGATTTGAAGAAGGTATGAGCCAGACAGGATGTTTAGATACCTGCTCTTCACGTTGCAGAAGTAGCCGCTCCTGGTTTTATCCGCCTGAGGTTTGAGGTTGACGGCTCCTAACGTCTCCGGCCGTCTCACTGATTGAGCCATTTCTGTTTTTCTGGTCTGGTGCAGGAGCTCAGCTGGCGTCCTTCCTCCTTTTGTTCCCCATGCTAACTGGTTAGCCCCTTTTACTGCACCTGCAGGAGACGGAAAAGTCATACAATGTGAGCTGATTTTTACCTGCATTCACCAGGCAGGAGGACGTGAGCCAGACGCTTGTCAGAATAACGGAGGCAGCCGTTCAATTCAGCAAAACTGCCAATCATCCCATGTCATTAGTTCGTAAGCCTGGCAATCAATGTGAGCCTGAAACCCCAGGCCGCCAGGCGAAGTGCTGTGAAAACCAACCTGCTCCCTTCTTTGAACCATGATTAAACTATTTTATGGGTCTGGTTGCTGCAAGAATCAAGAAATGAGTTCAATAGAACCTGTGTGACAACATGAATAGGCAAAGAAGCAACACATCATGTCCTGATCTAAATAACAACATTGCTCTTTTATTAACCCTTCATCAATGTGTATATAATGAGCTCAGTTGCTCCACCAGGTGTTTGCTAATTACTGCTGACTAGTCTGAAGGAGCTGAGTGGGGGAGGAGTTTCATCCTTGAAGGCGGGGCTAAGTCCACCCAGGCATTTTGCACAGTCGAATGGTTGCCATGGAGATTAAAGGATTCCTCAAACGTGCATGAAAAAAAATCAAAGCAGCACTCCAGGTTTGGTTTTGATGAGGGACAAACATTATAACACGATGTAAAGCTCAAAAAGATCATTTTACATAATACTTCCTCTTTAAATCTTTCCTTTTTCAGACAGTTGAGTTCAGTTATTCTGATGTATCTCTGTAATTACGCTGCCATAGGCTGAGCCTACTGGAGGTCAAACTAAACACTTTCACTTTCTTCTTCTTCTTCTGCTCTACAATTTGTATTATTTGCTGTTATTTGAACTGCCAGTGTTTTGCTTCCTTTGTTCTTTAGAAGCTACATCTGGTCTGGCGTTCGGTTTGGCTGTGGTTCTTCTGCTTTTAACTTTTTACTCTTCATGAACACAGAAAATAATCCAGCATGGCCGCTTGTTCTGGTTCTGCTGGAGGTTTCTTTGTGTTAAAGGGAGTTTTTCTCTCCACTCTTGCCACATGCATGCTCAGTATGCTTGAATGCTGCAAGTCAATAACTTAGATAGAAAACAAAACTTTGTAAACTACTTTGAATAATAAATATCTAGGATCAATTGGAATGAATGTAAGATTGAATATAAATGATTTGTTTTTGTAAGATGCCCTTTAAATGACCTTTGTTGTGAATTTAATTGAATCGAATTGATGACAAACAATTTCCCTTTAAGTCTGGAAATGGTAGAAAGCTTTTTCTGAGGGTTTGGATCTCCAACCAATCTCAGTGAGCGCCGTTATCCACAAACCGAGAAAACATGGAACAGTTGGGAAACTTCCCAGGATTAGCTGGCAAACCAAAGTTACTTAAATAAAATCACAGTCAACAATCAACAAATCACCCAGAGTCTGGATGATTTGTTACAATCTCTATCAGAAAATCAAGAGAGAAAATGTCTGACCATTCAGTTGAGAGCTTTTCAGCAGGAAAATGATCCAAAGCACCAGAAAATCCACGTTTGAATGGCTTAAACACTAAAATGAAGGTTTTGTAAGAGCCTGGAGGCTTATTATTAATCTGACTGGAATCATGTGACAGGACCTTAAATGCTACAAAGTAGCTGAATTAAAACATTTCTGCAACATTACTCAACCATTTTAGTTTGCTAGCTAAATTTATGAATCATGTTTTGCAATCCTTTATTTAATCTGCAACATTCACCAATCAGGCACAAAGCTTTTGAATAAGTGAAAGGAAGTAAATATTGATAATTGGTCCAGTTTTACTTATCGGACCGATAAAAAATGACTAACATCGGCTAATATAGGTGCTAAAACAAAGATATCATGCATGTTTGTGGAGCTACAGAAAACAATTATTTTATTCTGATGATTAATCAGATAAAGAAATTGCCACATTCAGCAGATTTTTTTGCTAGCCACTTTAGCTTATTTTATATAATATTAGAAATACATTAAAATGCAAATAATAAAGCCATTCAATTTCTTTTGTAAATTAGAAAAAAAACATTTTCTTGCCTAAAATGCAATAGCATAGCATTCTTTTAGTTAATGCCTGATTATTTATAGCAAAGACAGCTCTCTCTTCTTGACTTAGCATCACTACAGTTGAGCTGATGCACTGATAATTGGATAGCAAAATGCACCTGAAAGAAGACTTTTTTTTTTTTTTTTTACATAATCTGAACCAAGTGAAGCTAAAACTATGTTCTGGGTAGAACATAGGGTTTTTCATCTTAAATGCAAAATGTTTATATTGTGTTGTTCTTTCAGAAAAACTCCCTTTTTTGAGTCTCTATACTCCAGTTAATGATTAATTGACTAGTAATTAGCTGAGGATTATTTTTATCACAATTAATTTGATTAATTGTTACATGACCGAGTCACTTCATTGGGGAACATGTAAGAAAAGTCATTCTGCAGAGACAGGGGTGCAAAAAACATATATACGCTATATGACGCTTAGGGGCGCCACTAGTGCGGGCGCCAGATGATGGAAAAATATTTGTAGTCTGCATCTTACAGCTGCTCGTGCTTTGAACATATAATTACCTATAATGTATCTCCATACACTTCAGAAGGTACTTAGCTGCACTACTGCAAAGGTACAGTCATACCTCCAATGACTTCTAAAGCACAACAATTAGCTTAACTGCTAACTTGGCCTTCAAATTCCTCAGATATCATGAAAGTCTAGAATGTGTGGGATTTGCTGCCTAAACCAGTCCGGTGAAGGAGGCCCTACCTCATAACTTAAACATCAACACACCCTCAGGGGTCAAGTGGAGCTAATGGATGGGTCATTGTTGCTTTGGCAGCCAAACAGCACCAACATTATTCGACCATAAGCCTAATCGTCGAATATGTTTCAAATAATATAGTTCAGTTAAATAAGAGCCAATAATAACAATGTAATAAACATTAGATTGCAGCCCTCATTTGGTATTCCGGGCTCACATCCCTCTGTGTGGTGGTTTATTAGCAACAGAGAGTAACCAAAACACACTTAGCGATTTCACTCCATTCTTCAGTCATACTGTTGAGGTCATGCAAGAACTTGTTTCCTGTAAAAGCTGGTGTTAACATGATCGCTGTGGAGGAAGTCAGCAATTCAGACGACATCACACAGAATGGTCTAGACAGTAGCTACTGCAGAAGCAAGCGACACCCAGCAGCGAGCAGAATGAAAACAAACGGGAAACAGAGAGGGGAACGTGAGCTGCATCTCTACTGACCTGAGTCCAGCCCGAGGACGGGGATGAGCGGCTGTCACATGAGCGCACCTTCATGTTGCAGGGTTATGATATCACTGCAGATTACAGAAACAAGTTGAGGCTCCTCCCTGTCAGGAGCGCCGACTCCGCCATTTGTCAAGATAGTTCCCCTCCCCTTCTAGACACGCGGAATAAAGTAGATGGGAGTGATACATCTTGTAGATTCAAACATCTTTGAAAAAAAAAGTATGAAAGAAAACAATATTATGGTTATTTTTACACTAAATGTTTCAACACAATTTGATTATCGTCATTTCTAACCATGTGGAATATTATACGACTGAAATAAAAAGGCAACATAAATCATAATTTAGCAGTGATTGTAATTATTTCACAAATTATTGTTGAAAAACAAGTTAATTTTTGTCCTGTTTGTTTTTCTTACCAGATTTGTTTTACGGAATACCGCAAGGCTCAGTGTTTCAGCCCATTCTTTTCCATATTTATACAGAAATAAAAATATTTGCATACATTATATGACATGACAAATTAATTTTGTCTTGTTTACAAAAATTGCTTCCAGATACAATTTTAGATTTATTTTTCTTATTACCTTAATAAAACCCATATGTTTACATACCTTTTATTCTTTAATGTTTTTTAACTTTAAGATTCAAGATCTCATTAACTAGAGATCTTGTTTGTTTTGTTTGTTTGTTTATTTTGCTTAAACAAACAGAAATTACAATCAGTTATGATACAAGTAATTAAAAATATTTGGCTCCATAAAATTAGTTAATACAATATGGCCTTAAAATAAATTTAAGTTTTGTTTGTTGTTGTAATTTTGTGTTATATAACTAAAGAAATTGAACTAAGCTGAATAAATGTACATCTAAAGATGTGTTTATGTTTGGTAACATGTATAAGGAACACACAACACAAAAAGCAGCTGAAAAAATACATTAGAAAATTAAAGAATCATAAGATATGAACTCAACGAAACCTGTTAGATACAAATCTTTGGGATATTTTGGATTCGGATGAGTTAACATGGTTCACCCTGCAGTATTCATTTCTCTCGCTAGATGGCGAGCTTGTATTTGCTTTGTTCGGTTTGCTCCATAAAGGAAGCCGGTCCTGCTGCAGCCAATCAGATTACAGGACAGGGAGACGCAGGTTTCCGGCCTAACAAACGTCAACAGAGGAGAAGCGGTTACTCTCAGAGGCAGTTGTTCGTTAGTCTCTCACGATTCAACTTTTATATCCCGTAAGTTGTTCTCTTGATTTAGAGTGAAATTTAGACAGAAGTGTTCAGCTTACCGAGTGCACTTTGTAAAGAAACCCTTTAGGGTCAACCGGGTGCGGCGAATGCTAACTGTGGGATCCTTATGCTAGCCTAGCCACCCGGCCGGGGCTGTTCGTACTTTCTGCCAACGGTTGAAATATTTATCGCAACGAACACTTTTCTCTAGTGAATATCCCTTTCTGGCACCACCGAAAGCGACTCGCGTTAGAATATATCATTACTAATGAAAATATTAACAGTGTATATATAAATTTTTTTTTTTTATTAATTTTCTAAAAAAATACAATGAAATTACTTCTTATTGTATTTTTTTCCCTGCTAAGTGACTTGGTCTCTGGTAATGTGGGGAGATAAAATAAGGTCATAATGTTGTGCAGCACATGGAACATAATAATAATTTAAATAATAATAATATTGTTTTTATTCCCAACTATTGCTAGGACTGTTGGGAATATTTTTTTAAAACGACTGCCTTACAAAATCTTCTGACTTTTTACTGAGATAGCTTCACACATGATAACTAATGTCTTAAAATCGGTGTAAATTGTTTAAATAAGGATCAATATGTTGATTTTTTTATTTTTATTTTTTATTTGTATAATGTTTTTTTTTTAATAAAATTTAAAAAATAATAAAGTATCTATTCTATTTAACTTTTTTGTAACTTGGTTATTTTATTAAAATTACGTATGTTTATGAGCACTGAAAAAAATAGACAAAGTTCTTGCATAGGTTTTATTTTGTTTTTTAATGTAATGTTTGAAATAAAACTTCACATTTAAACAGTTTTTTTGTTTTGTATAAATACTGTAATAACTTAAATTTGCCCCATTTGGAAAATGTGTCAATGGGTTAATGAAACATTAGAAAGATCATTTTAACTGAAAACACTAGTAACAGTTTTTTCTTTTTAATTTGTTTAAATTTGACCTCAGTGAGTTTTGTGTTTAATACCAGGAATTGGCATTTGCAGCAACATGACATCTGTTTACTGAGCTGCTGCTTCTTCAGACAATACTTGCACCAAGATTCGGTTTGCAACGAATGAGGCTGACACACCGTCACCATGGAAACAGAGACAGTAAGATTATGCTGCTGTGGGAAAGTTGTGCAGAAAGCAGGTATACACGATGAGGAGAGATCAGGAGTGTTTTTATTTATTTTTAATTCTGCAGGAAATGATTCCCATCTGGCAGAATAAGCCCCATGGAGCCGCCCGCAGCGTCGTCAGGAGGATAGGCTCCACTCTTCCTCTAAAGCCTCCACAGAGGGCGTGTTTTCAGGTACGCTTCACATCCTGGGTTGCACTGTTTTTTTTTTTTACTCCACCTTGCTATTTCTCCAATATTTTTTGATAACTGGATGTTCCCAGAATATGTGTGTATTGTCTTCGATTTCCCCACGTTTTCTCCAACAACATGCAGTCGACGGTTCCTTTACAAATTAGAAATGATAAGAGGGGATGTAAAAATACCTAACTTTCAATTTCCAATCAAATTCTTCCCATATTGGATCCTCTATCAGGATATTTAACCCACATTGATTTTATATGCCAAATATTCTGCGTAATATCAGGTCAGAGCCTCTTTTATTAATTAAAAACTTGTTTTAGTTGGTATTTTTTTTACTATAATAGAACTAAAATATTGTCCTATTTTATTAGGATGTTTATTGATTCTGTGTTTTGCTGTCCTTAACCAATAAATCCACTTCTGGATGAGTTAAAATGGCGCGTCTTGCTCCACTAGGAGCTTCCCGGTCTGCCCTCGCTCCGTCCGCTCGACGGCCCGTCGGTTCCGACCCTGGCTGACATCGCCTGGATCGTCGCAGATGAGGAGGAGACGTACGCCAGAGTCAGGTCCGAAATCCAAATCTGGTTCTGAGAAACCAGCATAAAAGTACAAAATCCGTGAAAATGAATAGTTTTCAAGGTTTAGAAAGTGATTGATTTCTGTATAAAGTCCTTGAAAGTGCTTAATATTCAAACTGCACAGTTTTGCAATAAAGTACAATCTAATGTTTGATTAAAAGCCCAAATTAATCATTTTCCAGTTGAAGCCAGATATTTTTACACACTTAATAAAAAGACATATGCATTCCTCCATTTCTGAACTTAAATCAGACTTAACGTTTCTTATTTGTGGTCAGTTACCAAAATTATTCATATTTGCTAAATGAGAGAAAACTTAACAGTAACTTTTTTTTTTATTTTTAATATTTAATAATCCTAATGGATAAATGAGTTATTGATTTGTGCAATTGAAATACAAGTTGGATTATTTTTTATTGTTGTTAAATTTGTGTTTTTGTTCTCAGACTAGTCCGGTGTGCAGAGTGAGAAACATTTTAAAATGTAAAACTTTAGTTTACCTCATTCCTGCTGTAGAAAGCCATCATGAGCATCATTAACAGCAATAATAAATTATATATATAACACTGAAGTTAAGCTGTCTTTTTTTTTTTTTTTAGATTATTTTGTATTCTTCTCTCCAAAGTTCGGTGATGGAAAAGTTTGAAGACTTATCTTGAAAATGGTTGAAAAGTGTTTGAATTTTACTATGGAGAAAGTTTATAAACCCTGATATAGTGACAGTAAAGTTATATTTAATCAAACTCTACCTCAAACTTTTTGCCAACCAAATGTTCATGTTTTGGATCAGTGTACATGGGATATAAAACAAATTGAAACAAACGTGTCTTCAGCTGCTTTTTAAAAGTAACCACCATTCTGTGCAGAAGCGACTCGCGGCCCCTGAAACACGAGTGGCGGCCCACGCCGCTCCTCGTTCTGCACAGAAACTCGTCCGTGCCGAACTTCCGGCGGGAGGGGAAGCGGATGGAGGGTCTGAGGAAGCCGGGCGTGACGGCGCTGAACCGAACCACGGCACTGCAGGAGGAGCTGAGCCGCCTCAGAGCGCAGATTGCCAAGATCGTCGCCAGCGACTCGGGTCAGTAACTCCAGAAAAGAGTTCTTATAGTAAAATAAAACCAGCAAAATAACCAAACCTGAAGCTGAGAAAACAGTTTTGTGAAATGAAATGTATAAAAACTGTAATTAATGTGGGAAAAACTAACTGGAACTATACTGTGTGTTTAGAAAACCAACTAAAAACGGAGAAAACACCAGTTAGTTCTTTATTCAACAATAACTGAATATTTATTTGTTTTTAATGTTATTTTTATGTTGAGTATTTATTAACTAATCAATGTAAACATAATTGCAATACAACACTTTGTTGTTTTTGAATTCTGTGTTAAAAAAAAATAAACTACTAAAACATCTAAAACTAAACAATGTTTATTTAATAAAAACTGAACATTTAAATAATAACTAATAAAAACTGAACAATATTTAAATAATTGATAACTAAACAATAACAAAACTAAATATTTAATTAATAGCTAATAATAAATAATGTTTAACTAATAAAAACTAGCAAACACACTCTTAAAAACTAATTAAAGCTAACTGTATAATAAAAAACATCACAACAAAATAAAACTAAACTGTTACATCCAGATGCTGTTCACTGTTGATAAAACTAAAGTCACAGCTGAGCCTCATGTGACTCTGCTGCTGCCCAGTCAGCCGCCCTGATTCCCTCTAAGCCGTTTGGTGGTGCAGTGTCTCGGCGCCGGTTTGTAGGTCAGCGATGGAAGATTATCCCCACCGTTCTGTGGCAGCTGCACATCACATGACAGATCACTTAAAACGTTTTCTCTTCAAAGTTTTCTGGTTGATTTGTATAAAAGGTTCCTGGAAGAATTTGACTTGGTTTTCATTTCCAGGGAAAAAAAAGTTTTAGGAAAAATGTTTGTACTTCCATATCAT